GTAGCTACAATGTAGCTACAATTGTAGCTACATTGTAGCCACAGCTACCCTGGGGCGCACTGACAGAGGCGAGGCTGCCGGACACTGGCGCCACCGGGCCCTCTGACCACCACCAGTAGGCAACGGGTGAAGTGTCTTGCCCAAGGACACAACGACCGAGACTGTCCGAGCCGGAGCTCGAACCAGCAACCTTCCGATTACAAGACGAACTCCCAACTCTTGAGCCACGATCGCCCACTTCAGGCACAGACTGCACCACAGCGTCGACGTACACCTACAATGGCAATGAACGGCTGTTTTATTCTATCCTATACAAAAGATGGATCTAGATGTCGACTCCCTCCCCACCACCAGTGGTTCGGTTCAGGGAGTTCCTCTTTAATCAGTCCTGTGCAGTGAATTACCTGCAGGCAACTAAAACCTGCTGCTCAAACATGATTGGTCAGTAGACGTGACATTAAAAGCTGCTCTCAGTTTACCATCTGACAATCAAACCTGATTAAAGCTTTTAAAGGCCTGAGGCCATAAAACTGGTGTGAAGGTAAACACACCAGCTCTCGCTGTGTAAGAAATAAATGGTGTGTGATGGTTAAAATATAACTGGACGCAGACTGGAGAGGTGCACACGCTCTGCTGTAGCAGGCAGACAGGTGAGCAGGATCTATGCAGCCTCAGTGGTCTTGGCCTCATAACTCTGTTACACACTCAGTCACACTCAGGTGGGCGTCTGGAGGAGGCGGCCTTGGCCTGATAGGACAGGCAGCGCCTGATCTATGAGTCTGGGATACTAAAGCGCTCAGGTGGAAACACAAAGGTGTGTGTGTGAGCACCTGAGGTGGCTGTCTGACCGGAGAGGGAAGGACGAGGAGCAAACGGACGACACGGTGAAATCTGTTACAGTTATAGACTGTATATAAAAGATGGCCATCATAGCATCATCGAGCAGCAGCCTGAGGGGCTGAAAAGGCCACAATCTCTAAAAACAAGCCAGTGCTGAGAGCTTGAAATCCAACATCTGAGACCATAAACTCATCAGGAAACTGTTTACTGGAACCCAGCTATCATAGGGCGAGAGGCAGGGTACACCGTGGACAGGTCGCCAAAGGATTTGAATATAAGGGGGCTGCTACGTAGAGTCTTTCTCCAGATGTGGCTTGTATAAAACAGCTGTGCATTACTACTGTAGTGGCAATTCCTTTTGACAAACCAAACATCCCACAATTAACAGTTCACAAGCCACTGCTGCACTGAGAAACTATTTCGTACGCAGGCAAAAGAAGTCCACTGTCCAAACTTGAAAGTTGCGTTTTTATGGTTTATTTTATCCAGTTTGGCAATAACAAGATCCAATTTTTTGTTACTTCCTGCTGCTTCTCCTGCTCTGGTAAAAAACCATAGGCCCACCCCAGTGCATGCTGGTCCTATACCAGTCTCTTTATTTATAGAAACAAAATGGCCCTACAGCTCTTACTGACCAATTTAACAAAGTAACATCAAACAAACTTTGAAACAAAATATTAACCGACAAATAAACTTGTAAATAAACCCCAAAATATAAGTAAACTAACAACAAACTTTAACTAATTTCAAAATAAAAAAAATAAGAACAAATAGCTCCAACAACTACACTACACTGCCTCCGTGCACCTTGGGATTTCAGGAAAACATCTTTCGGGATGGCTCACTGGCAGGAGGACAGACCGTCTCTGTCAGCTTGATGATGTTGTTCTTCCCCCTGGTGGATAAAAAAACCGGTCAACTAGTAACGATGTTGACCAATACGTGACCATAAATGATATTTTCTCCTATTTATTTCCTTATCATAAGGAAGCCTACCTGATCTCCTGCTTTTTGCCCCCTGAAAGCAGGAGATCAGGTAGGCTTGGGGCTTAAGAGGTTAAATAAAGGTGCACAGAAAACAAAGAGTGGAAAGGGAAACCAAGCAGACTGTCTTCAAACACAGAGGACGAGCAGTTTTCTCTTCATTAAACTTGAGCTTGAACTTCAGCTTCACTGAACTGTGAAATCCCTGCAGCACACTTTCTGATGAGACTCTACAGTTTGCATTTGTCTGAATTTACTGAGCTCAGACTGGCAGATCTGCCATCACTGTTTCCTCTGTGTTCATTTTATCTCAGAGTACACTCCTCCTGCTCCTCCACTAAACACACAGTAGATGGGTATGATTTATGACAGGAAGTGTTTTGAGTTTATAGATGTGTATACACTCTCTCTCACGCACAGACTCGTGTTTTCATATTGTTGCGTGGACCTCTCATTGACGTAATGCTTTCCCTAACCATCAAAAATCAGTGCCTAACCCTGACCTAACATAAGCCTGACATTAAAACCACATTTAGTCTCAATTTTGATCTATTTACTGGCACTTTGTCCCCATATATACCTCACATGGCTATATAAACATGACACACACACACGTGTCATTCACTCTGTTTTTAATTGTGTTTACTGTTAGTCTTGAGGTGGAGTCGAGCTCGTATTTTCTTGTCACGCTTTATTAGTTTTTGATGGTTTTGCTTCATGCACTGATTTAAAAAAGCTGCTCGAGTGTCGAAAGTGTCCGCATTTTAGTTTCTCTGTTGTGCTGCAACAAGTCGTGAGTTGAATCAATCACCCAATGATCAGGAATGTGATTCGATAAGACGCAGTTATTTATTTGAGTAATGTTTCAGCCAGTCATGATTGGATGATCAAACTCTGATGTCAGAGGAGAAAGGTCAGACTCTCCTCTCAGCTAAGAACAGGAAACTGATCATCGCGTCTCTGCTGCCCGTTTACGTGATGAAGTGCTGATGGACCAAACGGCTGTGATTTAATATTCCAGCATTAAACGTTTGAAGCCGTTTTGGGGCTCAAAGTGGTTTTTAGAGTCAGGGTTATGGTTGGGGTTAGCATTATGTTAATTAGACGTCCTCACTAACATATGAAAGTGTTTTTTGTTTGAGAAGAGCAGCGTATTTAAACGTGTTTAAATTGGGCTGTAACAGCTTTTACAGACGTCTCTCACCATCATCTGGGGAAGCACAGCTGGCAGATTAGTCAGTAGCACAAGTCACTGGGCTAAATGATAAAATCTCCTATTTACGCACATTTTATTCCATGATCGTCTACTTTAACTTCCACTTTGCCAAATCGTCTGAATGCTGTCTGAAAATGTTTTTGATCATCTTAATTTTGAGACGTTTGGAGGGGAAAATGGCGTTTTATTGTGCAGAGAGCCCCTGGATGTCGGTCACAGGTCCTGAGTGTGTAATCACCTGCTGCGTCTGTAAATCAGGAGATAATTACACACAGACTGTGAGCACCGACTGAATGAAAGGTGCAGTGTAAATTTGTCCTGCTTTTCATAAATCAGACCCGCTCTGTCTCCACTCATTGAGAACAGTTCTGTGTGTGTGTGTGTGTGTGTGTGGAAGTGATAATGGTGAATCATGGCTGCGTGTGGTCGTCCTCCTGGCTCTGAGGATTTAAACCACGACTGGAAGCCTGATTTCCTGTTGCTTTTCTCCAGGAGCGCCGTCTCGAATGTCTTCGTGTCACCTTGTTAAAGCAGTCACTTCAACTTCAGGAACAACTAAAGATTGTGGGAATAAAAAGATTCTCCTTATTGCCCACAAACGTTTCGTTTAGTCATTGAATACACTAGGGGTGGGGGAAAAATGGATACTGTGTAGCATGGTGATATTTTGTTTGCTAATAATGTAT